CAAGGTTTTCCTTTTTGATTTTTTTTTTTTTTAAATAACAGTCCAAAAATGAACTAAAGTTCATTGTTCTGGAACATGACATGCTCAGCTAGACATATTTGTTTCCATCTCGAACCTATAGGTGTTTTTATTAACCTAGGAACTATAATCAATTTAAATCTAAAAGTGCAATGCCTGTATGCTGTAGAGGAATTTTTTTAAATCCGTTTATGTACTCAGTTGACTCCAGTGCGTTTTGTTGTCCTATATTTCACCTCAGGTCAGCCTTCTTTGGTCTGAGCTACCTTCTTACTAATCTGCCACACACCCAACAGTAAATGTCAGGGGCTGGTGGGGAGCGACTGGCTGTCGAGGCACATTTATCTTAGAAACTAGGACAGTTTGTTCCCAAAAAAAAAAAACTCCCTTATGCAGTCATGGCTAGCATCTCGTGACAAGCTGTTCATTTCAGTGGACTTGGTTAGATTATAGAGAGAAATGTAACACTATAAATTAATGTTTCCTGCAGACATCTGTGCTTGTGGGCCTGCTCACCTCCTGTCCTCTTCTTCCACTTCTCCTTCTTCTTCTTCGTATGACTTCCGTCTATGTTCTGGTTGCCTCGACCCTGAAGTGCCCCCCCACTCCTCCTGCACCTCTGTCCACCGTCACCATAGTGCCACACAGTGGTTTGGAAGGGAGACACAGGAGGCCCCCCAGTGTCCTCCTTTGGAACCACGGGGCCCCTCCCGTAGAACCGTTCTTTCCTTCACTGCTCTCCTTCCCCCCCCCACCCCCAGTCACAACAATGGTCTTCCCAGCATCCCGAACTACTGTTCCCAACACCTGTGGGGGTGGAGTGAGGAGAGTCACAATGCTTTTACACCTTCACTAATCCCTAACACCTAAGTTCCTACGCATGCCCCGTGTGATTGTGTGTGTGAGTGTGTGAATGTGCGGCCCCCCCCAAAAAAAAAAAAAAAAGAAAAGGAAAAAAAACACAACAACAACGCTTGACGGATTGTAGAGGAGGAACCAGTTTTATAACATTTGATGCTGTTCTCTTGGCTGTTTTCTAAACTAGGTGTCAATTCACAACAGGCTTCAGACGTACCAGCTCAGCAGCAGTGCGGCTCAGAGCCCCGAGAGCGCGGCCCTTCTTAACAGCCGTGGGGAGCTGCTTTTCCAGCAGGGGTTAACACAGGGGACGGCGCCTCCACCTCAGCACCCGCGGCTGCATTCCGCGGCGAGCACCCCCGCCCACCACCTCCCCATTCAGCTGCAGCACCAACCCGCCGTGAGCGTGGCCGACCTGCGACCCGAGGCGCTCATCCAGTGCCAGCAGATCGTCAAAGTCATCATGCTTGACAGCAGCGGCCACGGACGCGTGGAGGCCTTCCTCAGCCACACGCCCACCCTCCCCCACCACCACCACTACCACCACCACCACCACCACCACCAGCTGAGCCAGTCTGCGATGTCCAGCCCCGTCCGCTCGCCAGACGGCTCGTACGGCAACGACGGGCACCAGCCCCCGCTGCCTCCCCCGCCTCCACCTTACAACCACCCGCACCAGTACATACCCCCGGACCCCCGCCTCAGTCTACACCGGACCCCTAGCGGCTCTCGGAGTATGTTGTAAATAAATCGACACGAAATTTCACAAAACCTTCCTTCAGCCTATTTAAGATACGAATGTACATAATGTACAGCTACTGTATACATACAGATGAAAGAGCTATAATGAGAAAATAAAACTCCACTTATATGCATATATTTAAAGAAAATATTAAAATAATAAAGGTTTTAAATCAGCTAGGAGAAATAAAGTGAATATATATATTTAAGTTTTACTCAATTGCTCATGTATTTTGAAATATTATGTAGTTTTAACAAATTTCTATAACTTTTATGTCAGTTTTAACTCTCGCAAGGGGAAAATGGAAACTATAGATACTGAATTTAGTTCGGGGATGGATTTTTTCTTCACTTCTTACCACAAATGAATCCCTGAAACTTTTTTTTGTGATAATTTCCAGGAATGGATGCTCAACACTCCGAGGACCTCCGGCTTCTTTTTGCGTTTTCCTTTCTTTTGTCCCAGACCCCACGCCTACTTACTGTGCTGTATGTACACACGCTTAATGGAAAACATGTGCCAAAAATACATATGCCTCCACTAAACAATGACTTCTTTGCACTTGACTGAATGCTAGGGCTTAAAGAGATAAATACAAAAAACAAAACAAAAAAAAAAAAAGCTTAAAAAATACTTTAAGATAGTAGTGCTTTCGGGCCTCTTCTTCTAGCCATTTGCGCTTTTGCTGACTTATTTATGTGATGGAGGGCCTTCTTCTCTTCCTCTCAACTCCGCTAGATTAAAAAACAAAATGTCTTTCTGTGAAAAGCTGTGTTTTTTTTATCCACCCTTCTGTTGTATTGTGTCTGTATCACCTAAGAACTCTCAGTGGTTATTGAACATAGACCAGTGGTTCTCAGACGTTTTATCACAAGTACCGCCGTAGGAAAGTTTTCCACGTTTTAACACATAAAAACGACGACATGGGAGTTTTTGAGTTTTATTATGTCATTTCGAAAACTGTTAATTCACACTGCAGGTCAGGTTAAGTTGCAGAATTTAATTGTGCCCCATATTTATTTTAATTTCTCAGACTCGAGTTGAAAGAAAGTCACAAGAAGGTCAAAGTTCAACTGGAAAAGATGTTCATTTCTGGCCAACTGAACCTCAAAGTAGTAGTAGTACTAGTAGACATTTTGATTCATTTTTATGATTTTAATTTCATTAATTATCCTGTACTATTTGGGGACAATCAAACAAATTATAGAATTATCTTGAAAAACAATAATCCAATTGTCAATAAATCAGCACAAATGTGTAAATTTGGTTATTTGTGACAAACTGGAATGATATGCCATATGGAAAAACTGCCACTGATCCGGATTATGAACCCGATGGTACTTGTTTTCGAATTCAGAAGTTCAGAAATATGAATGTAACCAATAGCATTTGGCAATGAGAAAGTTGAAAAGGTCTTATGTGATGATTCCTGTGCAGCACCTTGGTAATGGCAAAACCTTTTCATAGGCCATCAGTTATGATGTAATCAGTTTATATTAACCTTAGCTGATGAGAGGCAGCGTTGTTTTCTAAATGCTGGCAGATTTTAACTTTCTCTTGGGTTTCTATGCTTTTCTGTTTGTTTTCAGCATGCCTTCAGTTCTTATCTCCTTTGTCGTTCCACTTTATTGCACTTGTGTAATGCGCTAATTTGGCTAGATTTCTTTGTAAGAGCGAATTGCGTCATTGACAGCCCTGTTGTTAATATTTACTAACGCTGTAAGTGATCAGTAGCTTGGTCTCTCACAATATTGGTTAACAGTTTTTGAACATAGAGCTGGAACACAGTAAACTGGAACACTAGTAAAGTAGCTACCAGTAATAGGTAGCAATTTAAATTCAATACATTTAAATTGAATTAACAAAAATCTTTCCACCGCACTTCAATTTTGAGACATTTCTGGAAAAAAACTGTACTCAACTTGCTTATCTTGGTTACTGTTGGATTTCTAATAGCCTACTTTGCAAATTTCCTTGAATAGCACCAAAGGCACTGGTGGTACTTGTAGCACAGTTTGAGAACCATGGTCATAAATCATTTAACATTTAAGATTAATAGGACTGAAAGACAACCATGAGAATGGGCTACTGATGAACCAAATTCAATTAATCCAAGGTGGTTCATCTTCTTGAAGGCCAAATTTCAGAGTGTGAAGGAATCTGCTGGAGTAGGTTCATACTTTAAAGGCGTATTATGTAAAACTCTTCACGTGTAACATACTGTATGTACAACACACTGTGTGAGCCGCTGCAGTTTTGTCAAATGTTCCCTTGTCAGGAAATCCCAAAATGAAATCGCGCAAAGATGCTTCAGATACAAATGTTAAAATCTGTGTTCACATTTATTTGTCTTTGTGCTGCCATCGTCCGTGTTCCCTTCGGTGGATTACCGCTTGCTCATGTGCGAAACTCTCTGCGCTGAACGTTCCCACATCCCCAAGGTTCCGTCTCGGATTCTCGTGACTGTTTTCTCTCCCGCCATGACCTTTCAGACTTGACATTTTCCAAGGAAAAATAAAGGGGGGCGGGGTGGTAGTAAAAACAAAAAGGCAAGAACTACATGTAGCTTCTTTTGCAAATGATGGCATTAACCCCTCCTCTTTGTGCTGCTGTCTTTACTGCTTATATTAAGAATGGGACAAAAAAGAATGCACTATCTGATCTCTTTCTGTTTCACCTCGGCTTAGATTGTAAATACCACATGCGAGTGGAGTTGGGGGAGGACATGCAAGCTACCTTCAGCCTCTTTCAAATTGCCGTCGCCCTGTCACGCGTCCTTCTTGCTGAAGTAGGTCAGCAAGCTGCCCGAGCCCAAGCGCGTCCGTCTCTTAAAATGTAAGCCCCCCCCCACCCACCAGGTACCGTGGAATGGATGTTCGGTTAACTCTGCTCCCATCTGACCTCCATCTGTCTGATTTGTTGATTTATAATCACACACCCAGTGCGGGAAGGTCTCTATCTCATCTTTCTGTCCTTTTCCCCACCCCTCCCGACTTTCACCTTGTGAAAAGACAGCGGAGGGGCGGGGGGGGGAGTGGGCTTGTGTTCCAGTAGGCAGAGTTGATGAGTGTTCATTCTAAACAAATCCATCCGCCCCGTTGTTTCCATCCCACTGATTGCTTTTATTGTTGTTTCATAATGCAATGAGAGGAATTAGCACTTTCAAAATGAATGAACAGCTTCGATGATTAGTTTAATACTTTTACTGGTTTGGAACACACTTTCAACGGTTATGTAATGAATTTTAGCAGATTACGTTGAGTTCTAATGTTTTGGATTATACACTGGTTTATGATGATTGTACTCATTTGTTTGTTTGAGACAACTTTTAGATGTAATGGGATGGATTTTCTTGTTTTTGTTTTTTTTTTCTTTTTTATTGTACTGCATGGCATTGGTTTGACAATGTATTGATTGAACCCTGATTCCAAAAAGGCTTGAACTTAACAGGCATGAGTGACATGTTTTAAGAAAAGTGATGTTTTTGGTTTTTAATAGGCAACACCCTCAAAGAGACTCGAAACAAAACAGTAAGTTTCAGTGCCTCGTGACAGAGCAGTCGCCTGTTCCATGCTCCCCTTTTGTTTTTAGCCAACCCGTTCTTGTTCCTCAGTTTGAACATTGTGTGTTTCAGGAATTTCGGAGCACAGATTTGACGGCTGGGCAATAAACGTGAACGCGAGACACACGAAGCGGTTGGATTCGAGTGAAAATTTCAATGTAGCATTTTTGAAAGTGTAGCAAATGGAACATGTAAGGAAGAAACTTTCAAAAGGGCTTTGTCGTACCAGTGCACACCTTCATCAGCTAATGACGAATGGATCTCGATGGCCTGTCGATCACTGTGTTTGCTCAATACCATATAGAAAGGTGTAGAAATGGAGGACACGTTTGAGGCCACACAGGTGAAACCATCTTCCTCAGTTGAATCATTCGTCTACCTGTATTTACAGTATATCAACTTGAAATTAAAGATTATTTAAGTGAATTCACCAACATGGTTTTGGCTCAGTTATTGGATTTAATAGCAATGAGTACAATGGCAAGTTATGCAGACACTGAATCTTGTATTTAAATAGTTTTTTGTAATGGTCAACATGGCTGATTTCAGACACTGAGCTATCCTGTGAAGACGGTGATGCAAAGGGTCTGGGTTTTGATTCATCTATGTATGACTCATGGTCTCCCAGAGTCGGGTCTTTTTTAAGGTCCAGAATCACAGCAGTGTGCCACGAGTGGCTGTATATAAAGACCAAGTTGGAAAAGCAAAGCACATCGGGCAGCTTTCACACAACACCGACTGCTGTTAAGCAGGCAACAGCGTAACGAGTATGAATAACATTATCCCCAGGTAGCATATGTTGTTTAAGGAGTGGATAACAGTCAGACTGATCTTTAAATAACAGTACTAGTCACTATGAAAGACAATGACATCAGGTTTTGTTCTGAAAGCTGGCCGCTCAAAACGGACATCTAAAGAGTGACGTTTTGACAAACTGTGGCTTCTGTTCGACTAAGTTTACACTTTATAGAAGTCTTTATGAATCCTGGGGATAAACATTCAACAAAATATTCTGAATGGACTCCAACCGTCAGGGTGTGGCTTTTTTTGTTTGTGTTTTTGTTTAGAAAATGTGTCTCTCGTTACCAACAGTAAAACAATGCTGAAGAAAGTATTTATGTGTAGTGGTTTTTTTTAATTTATTAGTTTTTAGTTACATGAAAAGCTGAAGTACAGTCAATCCTTATATCCAAAAATCTCATCGTTTCAAAGCATGCATCTCCAAATTTGTACATTTTCTACGTCTAGAGATAAGTGTCAAGCAGACAAAAAGATGCTCATATATTTAAAAAGGAAAATCCCCACAAAGTTCAGTGGTTTCTTTTGGCGTTTATCCAATTTTTTATGTATTTATTTTATTTTTTGCTTAAATTGAGCTTTTATCCACACGTACTAGAAAGGTTGGTTTGTGTTTTCTTATTATTGCGTTGATAAGTTTAGTGTTTGGTTCATGTAGTGTCTCACGTTATTTCCATGTTGTTTAATGTTTTCTGTAATTGATCCAGTTTGTTTTCCCGCTGCTTCCACTTAGACAACTGGCCTCACCTGGCTCCAATCCCAGTGACCCCACCTCCTAGCGATTTCATTCTCCTCTTGTCTATCTGCTGCATTCTGAAGTTCTGATCAGGTCCTCCTTGTGATGCTTTTCGTTTAACCTTTGTTTTTGTACTTTAACTGCAACCTGTTTCGTGCGCCAGACAGGACCACCAAAACTGGCACATAAAACAAGGATCACATTCAAATGGGTTTGCCCTGGACTTACTGTTTCTGTTTTATTAGCCATTTAATAGGAAGGTCTCTGCTACCTGAAGGTGGTTGTAATGCAGCCTGTGAAAGGTTTTAAGATCTTTGAGATAAATCTGATCATTGGACTTCTGAGAATGTGAAAAGGCGAGAAAATGTTTCTTGAGTTTTAAAAACTACTTTGGAGATGCATGTTTTAACACCACATAGCGTCATCTTTTAAATACAAGTCTGTTTAGTTTTCTAATATCGGAAATACATTGCAAACAACACTCCTTAATATACATAAATTCAAACCTAAACATATGTTTAAAAAAAAATTACATTACATTTAAGCTGAATTAGAAATACTCCGGTAATTCTGTGGAACTTTTAAGGATTATATAATGAACACATTATAGCAAAAGTCGATTCAGTGCCTTGTAGAACTGTCCACATCCCTTGATTATTATTATTATTTTTTTAAATACACTTTTTACAAATGAAAATCAAAAACGTGTGCTGTGCGTTTGTATCTAATCCCCCAGGATCAATACGTCACTGAACCACCTTTTGCTAAAATTATGACTAACTCTTCCTTCACCACTTTATCCCCGGCTGGCGTGTTCCTTTGTCTGTATGGTATCGTTTGTTCATTAGCGTTGTTTAGCAAACCTCTGAGGCCTGCACAAATGCTGACATCAAGTCACTCACAGGAATAATTCAATTACCTGACTTATTAAGGCAGTTGGTTTCACAAAATTTTACTTAGAGGTATCAGAGTAAAAGGAGCTTAATGCAAATGTATACCACACTTTCCTATTCTTCATTCATGAAAAAAGTTAAACCTTTAATAGTTTTCATTCTACTTTGTAATGATGTGCTACTTTGTGTGTTTTGCTTAATCCCATAAAACTCCAGTATAATACATAATTGTAGCCAATAACAGGGTGCATGTGGGTTATCTACACAGTTTCATCCATAAATAAATCCTCAGTTTGTCTTCAGAGTCTTTACTTCTAAATGCAAACGTCCACTACATGTCGAAAAAGGTTTCCAGCACAACGTGGGTTGGAGTCGAGCGAGTGAAGTGCATCTCCTCTAGAGATTTCTGTTGCCCTGTTTTTTTTTGTTTTTTGTTTTTTTTGTATTCACATTTCAGCAGAGATCACATTAAGTCCTGGCAGTCACAACGGTTTAACCTCAGCAGTCCTGGCTACACAGGAGCTTCACCCATGCTTCCTGTGTGCGTAAATTCTTCCAGCCCCGATGACTTCTCGTCCTCCTGGGTAGTTGTCATCTTCCGCCAACGCTGCCAAATGCAAAAGAGAGTTTGATCGTCCTCTGGTAAGACCACGAAGAGTTTTGTTTCTTTAAGTTACATCGGATGAGATGAATGCGAACGGATAAATAGCAAAGCTCGAATTGCACGTGAAAGCAGAAAAAAAAAATAATTAGGAACATTTATGCAGGAAGGTGTACCTGTTTGATGCTGCCTTTGGTAGTGCAGAACATGTAGATCACGTAACCTGGGATGAGGATCATTGAAGACAAAGCCATAAACCATCCAATCACTTGACCCCACAGCGGATACACATACTTCCCCAACATCAGGGGGGTCATTTCAAAGGCGCTGAAGGTGAAGACCCCCTAGAAAAGACAAAACTATTAGTAGATGTTACTGACCCCTTAGGGATCCCACAGGAAATATCCAATGATAAGCTCTCATTTGTTCAAAGAGCTGCCTCTTTGAACAAACCAAACTCCGCCCAGAAACGCCCCTCGACAGTCCCACGTGGCTGCATGTCTCACAAACAAAGCCTCGCGGGGCTTAGTTTCTATGTGTAAAGATGGCGTCTTTCATTTCGACTGACTCTGCAGAGTACTTCTGAGTCGATTAGCGTAGCATTTCTGCCGGATTTTCAAAA